GGCCCAAGAAATAGTGGGTTGAACAGCTCGTCTTCTGTAGTTTTCAAAGATCCGCTTCCGGTTGAGGGCTCATTTCACGCCCCTGGTTGCTATCCACCGGTGGGTATCTCACCCTTTTCAACATCGTCGGCCCTCAAAGAAAGCCTGTCTTGCTCCCCAGCAGCAATCATCATGCCCGCAACAGCAATCAAATCCAGACTCGGCCTCCTTCCACACCCCCAGCGTTTAAACAGCGGACTCGCCCCCTGCGCCGGCTCCTCCAGCCGATCCCGATTAGCCCGCCGCCGTTCCCTCCCGTCTGCTGCGTGATGCTGCTCACTTTCCGGCTCTGTAGCAGGAAAGGAGACAGATTTCGAGCGCCTGATCTTCTGGCGGAACTTTTCAAAGGCGCCCCGCCGAGTTTGGGAGGGGGATGATGGGGAGGAGTTCTACTGGGTTGTTAGCTTGGGGGGGAGGAGAGGAAGGAGGGGAGAGGGGGGGATGTTACCTATTCCCCTGCTGGTTGGGGGTGGTCGAGCTCTGCTGGGCAGATGATCGTTAAGGCTGATGATTCTCTAAGAGGGGGGTGTTCATCGATTTGATGGAGGGATGATCCCGGATATTTACTGTTTTGTTCATCAAAAGATTTGAGTCGGGAGTCAGGCAGGGCGCTGGTGCTTTGGTTGGGGCTTTTTCCTTTGAGGTTAGGTCTTGAACTTGTTGGTAGGTTGGAGGCGCTTTGACGGCGGTGTTTGATGGGGGTGGTGTCTAAAAAGGGGATTCTGCTTGGTGACCGTTTGGGAGCTTCGTCGGGAGAGGACTGCTCGGGTGGTTCGGCGAGGTGCCCGTCGTAGCCAAATTTGGGTTTGCCTGGGTATCCTGCTCGCTAGGCTCGGTATTGTGAGGTTGTATCTGACTGGTTGCTGGAGATGAGGTTCTCGGAGGGGGAGTAGCGGAGTTGCATATCGAGGGCGGAGATCATATTGTTGGCTGGGAGGTGGTTGTAGGCGAGGTCAATGCCAGGGATGGTTGTCCAGCAGCAGCTGAGGAGACGGATGGCGGCGAAGGTGGCTAGGCTGTCGTTGTTGTTGGTGATGATGTCTTGGAACATATTCGGTTCGGCGGTATTGGACATCGTAAGGTCTGCTGCTATTATGTGTGTCGAATATAAGTGTAGGTATGTCAGACACCGGGCGGCTGCCCGGTTCTGGAACAGAGTAAGGTATCGCCAGTGGCGGGATTACCTGGCGTTTGTGATCATGATAGCTAACGATACTAAAAAGGCATGGTAAAAGGTAGCATGAAATTGGTAATGGTCACTCCGGAGGTCAGTGAAGAGAAGTTGGATGTTTTAAGTTTTTCAAGCCAGGTTCTTCGAGCAGAACGCTCTTGCTCTGCCAGTTGGAACACGCTGCGATGTCAAGCTCCTTCCTTTGAATTGGTTCATCACATGTCTCCATTTTACATTACTGTTACCATTCTCAGATTGAATCAGAGGATGTTACTTGTCAACCTTCAAGGAGACATCTGCTCTCTATTCAGTTGTTTTCTTGCCCCTGATAAACCCCTGTCAGGGGCAACGGATATCCAGTACATAACCCTAACCCCCACAACTCACCAGCCTCGGCCCAGGTTATCCGTGGATCGGCTAGTGGCGGGGATGAGCACTGGGGATCGGGAAGCTATCGGGGCCATGGACAAGGAGGAATGGGAAACACAGCGGGGAATGAAATACAAGGTGAATTCTGCTCCAGCCACCAACGTCAGTATACCGACGAACCCAATTGACCATGTCCAGACTCCTCTGCAGACGATTCCCCGCCCGGGCCCTTCTTCAAGCCCGGCCAGCGCTCCCGACCCGGAGCTATGCGTCGGCATCTCCAGCTGTGCAGTTCGACTGGGAGGACCCGCTCGGAGCAAAGGACCTGTTGACGGAGGAGGAGCTCGCAGTCTCCGAAACGGCTGAGCGGTATTGCCAGGAGCAATTGCTTCCCCGAGTACTACGTACGAACCGTTGAACCCGAAACCCTCCGAATCCGCCTGCTTGGGCTAACGGCACGATAGAGGCATACCGCGATGAGCACTACGATCCAAAGATCCTCCGGGAGATGGGCGAGCTGGGTCTCCTGGGAGCCAACCTTCAGGGGTATGGATGTGCTGGAGTGTCGGATGTC